ATTTTAAGGAAAGTAATTATATATTCTGATAGCGCTCAGAATTTTCTATCACACTGTGTATTTAAATCTTGACTTCCATCTATTTGCTGAAAAATAGTTTGAGTACAATGAAGACACCTTCGCCCTCAGATTCCCACAAACTTCATTTTTTCTTCTTTTCTCATGTGTTTTTAAAATTTTTATCTATATAGTAATCCGTTTTTTAGAAAAGTAATTATATATTCTGAGAGCTCTTGAAATGCTCTATCGTCCTGTGTATTCAGTTCTTGACTTGAACTTATTTGCTGAGAAATATTTCGAACATTGTCAATGCGGGTGAGGGTGTCTTCATTTTATTCAAAATACTTTTCAGCAAATAAATGGAAGTCAAGACTTAAATACACAGGGTGATAGAGAATTCTGAGCGCTATCAGAATATATAATTACTTTCCTTAAAATGTAGTTTTATATTGGCGATATTATTCTACTGATCCAAACTCTCAGAACTTATGCACCAATAGAATAACTTTCAGTTCGATTTTAATAGAGAAAAAAAATACTCGGTTGACATAAACTTTATAGTACACTGTAAGAAAGGATGCACTTATGAAACAATCTTTTCAGCTGCCTTCATCTTATTTCAATAGATTATACTATATAGTGTTCTCAAAAGAGTTGAGTTTCTATTGAATTTTGATCTGAAACTTTGTGCATACAGAGAATACAACTAGACTAGCTTTCATAAGAACTTCACAAGTTTTGAACAATGTTTCTTTGAAACACTATTTATGACAAGAAACTTTACCTTGAAAGTATCATATCTCGAAGAGATTTTGTTTAAAACTTCCGAATTATTTCCTGTAGAATAGTCTAGTTGAGTTCTCTATATATACAAAGTTTTGGATTAAAGTTCGAGAGTTGAGTCAAATATCAATAGGAATTGAAATCTTATTGAAATTGGAAAGTGAATGTTGAAGAGTTTTCTTCTCAATTATACTCTTACATGTTCTATGTCATCTTCTAATACTTTTATGAAGCTAGAAAAAGAAAAATACTGCATTGTTTCGACAAACAAGTTTCCACTGTTCGAACCTTGCCGAACTATTTATTTAATTTATCTGTTTACAATTTAGTAGCAAAACTTTTGATACGTTCTTGTAGAGGATTGAACTGTGTATCATTTTAAAACAGAAAATATGAATACCTGATGATAAATTTAACTATTAATATTACAAAAATGCTTACGAGCAAATGTTTCAAATTGTTCGATTATTTTCTCATCAAAAGTTAGCGTCGTATAGGCTACTGAACATTGATAATGAGAAATCTTCTAGATCTTTCTCTAGCAATTTCTTTATGTTAGCAAATATTTCGTTAGAGTTTTTTTATATCTGGTCAGATGATAGACTATATCGAATCGCCTAGAAAAAAAACAACTTTTTCTGTTTCAAATTGTTTTCATAAAAAAATTCAGTTATTTTATCAATATTTCAATGCGAAAATCTTCAAGACAATCTGACTACATCGAAAGCGATTTTTATTAGTTTAGAAAACTCAGCAGAAAAAAAATAACATAAAGGGAATTTCTTATGATTATATTTTATAGTGTACAATTCATTAGCTTTGGATGAGAAAGTGGTTGATCAACTGAAAATGTTTTCTTGTTACATACACAATCCTTTTTTGTTTCACCGGTTAGTTTCAATCAAAAAAAAAACACCTACGTATTTATTTTAGTTGCTAATCATACAATTCTATTTCAACATGGATGTAATATAGAATCAAAAGAGCCTATAAATTGGTCAAGACTTGAAGAAGAAATTCCTCATAATAGAAATATAGGTACAATACATCAATTAGATGTTATGATTGATAATTTAAAAAAAGTTATACGAAATTCAAAATCTTCTATGTAAGTTTATAATTTTTATAGTCAATCAAATTTCATTTTAAACAAAATTATCATTAAGATCAAAACCTCGATTATCTGTTCGTGAACGACAAAATCAACGTTTAGCAGCTATAACTTCAAGTAGTCCGATTAAATTAGATGTTTCACAAACAAATGAAATTAATTCATCAATTTTCATATCAAATCCAACGTAAGAAACAAAATTTAAAAAGAAAAAAAAAAACTATAAGAAACTGTTTTGTTTTCCTGTTTCAAAGTCTGAATATATCATCACAATTACCAATAGTATCTTTTTCACCTCGTGTACCCATCGTTCGATTTATCGATGATCAAAATAATAAGATACCAATAAGTAATTCACAACATTTAACATGTATACAAAATGTTTTATTACATAATGAACAATCAAATAATAATCCTAATAACAGAATGTAATGATAAAAAGAAATCATTCTTTGTTTTTTTTTTTTTTTTTCTACAATTGAATTTTGTTTTTTATTATTCTAGTGCAACGAATGAAGCATCAACCTCTAATTCTATTAGAAAATTAATTCTACGTTCAAAATCTACACATGTCAAGTATGAATTAAAAATTGAAATCTTTAAGAAAAAAAATTCTTTTTTTTTCTTTTGATTTATAGTTTATCAGATTCATCTTCAACGAAAAAACGACCATTGGAAAAAGAAAATTATAGTGTTGTGACAAATTCATCAAATAATAATAATACACATTCAAATAATGTTTTGAGAAATACATCATCACCGTATGTAACAGCGAATGATCATATACAATACCGATCATCGTTGTTTTCTGTAGAATGGTATCGATCAAATATACCACGTCTTCTTCGTCGTCTCGTTCCTATCCAAATACGAGAAAACATCCAATGATTAATAATTCACTAACAACACGTCGACAAACAAGACTTTCGTAAGTTTTATTCATCATTAAAATGAATTAATTATAAACACGTTCATTTTATAGTGCTATCTTTTATTTCAAAACGGACGAAATCTTCTTTTTTTTTAATTTTTGTCCTTGAAGAAACCTGTCAAAAATTAATATTTTTTCTATTCACCGATTTACAATCTTATTGTAAATTAGTTTGAATTAATCGAATTACATAATGAGATTCTTACAATTATAATAATGAGAGAATCCATTCGATTGATTATCCTCGCTTAAGCTCATAGTACAGATAGAAATTCTTAGAGAAGTTCATGCCAACACGCCGTTTCTTCTCGAATTTTGGTCATTTTACTCAACTTTCAGGATGTCATAAGGATCATCAGAGCGATTATTTGAGTTATTTTTTGGGCTATAACCTTTTGTTGCCATTTTTCTCGTGACAGGTTGCAAGTTCAGTAAATGGTCATAACTCGAAAAGAAAGTCGCATGGATTCTCTCATTGGTGAAAATAGTAAAATTTAAAAAGGATCAGTCCTTCGAACTGTAATCCTTCTAATGGATTTTTGATTCTACATTCGGTAAGAGTACCGTTAATTTGGCCCAACGAGACAAAATGTCGGAAAAAACTTTACTGTGACATTTTCGATAAGCACGTGAAAAATATTTTACTGTATATAAAAAAGTAAGACGTCTCAATACATCAACATGAGATAATAGTGTATGACAAATACTCAAAAACAAAAATAGCAACAAAGCAATGCGTTTCTTCAAGTGGATGAGTGTGCGTGTCCGTACCCTTTTAAGATATGCATGTGGATATAAGTGTTCTCTTCACACATTTTCTACTCCTACCTTCACCTCAGCCTTAACAGAGTCACTCTATAACATATAAAGTATTTTCAATATTTTTTCTTTCGGGTAAATTCATACATAACTAAGATATATATATATACTAAAAAATTAAAAAAACAAAAACAAAACTTCGACATGAAAACTTGCCTATAAATAGATCTAATGATTCGTAGAGTATTCTGAAAGTTTCATTAGAGAACGATGTTTTATTATCGAAATATTGAATTTCCAAGTAAATTCGCTGTTTTTTTTAATCATCGCTGTAAAAAGTGATTAATTTTTTGGAAATTCGATATCTCGATAAATGAATATTCTACTCGATCGAAACTTTCAGAATATTCTACAAGTCATTTGATCTATCTACAGGCAAAGTTTCATATTGAAATATTGGTCTCTTGGCTTTCAGTAAATACTTAATGCTGGATCGAAAATTCAGTAAAGCAATCATAATTCGACTCTAAAGGTCCATGGATACGAGTCCTTTAAGACTTTTCTTAATCTTATCAAAGCATCTTTGTAGATCTAAGAAATGGTATGAATTCGAATTGTTTCCTCATAAAACTATCGAATTCGTTGACGAAGAACAAAAAGTATTGAATTTTGAAAATAATATGCTTGAATGATAAGATTTCGATAGGGAATAATGAAAAAAAAAAGATATTATTGTGATTAACTTGTTGTTCTATTTTAGTACAAATGTTTAAGAATCGATGTATGGTTTCTCATATATTTACCTTTGACTGTACATATAGACAGAAGTCATTTTGTCTTTGACTGATTTTATTTCTTTATTTGTGTGTATTTTCGTCTAACGAACCTTATTGGTTTCTGTTTTTTTTTGTCTTCTGTTCTTTGCTCACCTCTTTTTTTTGTCTGTATCAATTATATGTATACAAATTTTTCTGTTAGTGTTGTTTCTTTTTTCTCATCGATTTATTAATATCGTCGATGTTTATTATTACGTATTTTTTTGTTTGTGTAAACAAAATATGTTTTTTTTCTTTTCTTTATCAAAAAAGAAAACAAAAGATTTACGATAAATGATGAAAAAAAAGTGTTTTATTGATTCATAGTAATGAAAGTGTTGCTCGTATGAAAAGAGGAAAAAAAAACATCTGTTTTTTTTCTCATGTTTTGACAAATTAGAATGAGTAGGTTGATGATTAAATTAAAATAACAAAAAAAAAATGATTACTTTTGTTTTTTTTTATTTATTAGAAAAAAAAGCAATCAGAAATACTTGAAATTATTTATTGAAAATGATTTTATTGTTTGTACAATTGATTATTGATAATTATGAAGATGAGAAATATTTTTATTTATTTTAGATTTATACTTTAAAAGGAAATGATTGAATTACCAGATTTATTTCATGAAAATCGGTAGGAAAAATAAATTTTGGTTAAATTTAAATTATTTTTTTTTTGTATGTGTAAATAGAATTGCTGAATTAACATTATCTTTAATTATTTATGCACCTATTGGTCTTTGTCTTGTAATCCTTCGTTCTATTGCATTAATATTTTTATTTCTTATTTCGTCTATATTACCAGCAAGTTTATCTCTTGATCAGTAAGTTAGTTTTAATTTAATTTATAGAAGATTAATTTAAATATAATAGATTTATAAATGAAGCCATCAGTTTTATATTAACATTTATCTATGTTGATGAAGTTGCTCAAAATCGAAATGAAGATAATAGAAAAACAACAAAAATTATTGTTGCTAATCGAGTATCTTGTTTGGATTCGATTGCATTGAGAAAATTTTTTTCTAATAATAAATGTAAAATGGTATGTATAATTATAATCGTAGAATATATTTGATTTAACTTAATATGATTTTAGATAAATTTATGGAAAGAAACTTCTTGGATTTATTATTTCAAGTTAAATTCAATTAATTCTTCTCGTACACAAGAAGATTTATTGGATTTATGTGTCAAAGAAATTCAATATTCTGGTATAGTTTCATATTATAAAATAACCTATAATGCGAAAGTGTAGACACAGAATTTTTTATTATTTCCGAATATATGTTAAGATTTTCTTTCTGAGATAAAATTGAACAACTAATAGTAAATCATTGTAAAAAAACAAAAGTCCAAATTTGTGTTTTGGAACAGAAATTATTATTTAGAGTACTGAATTCTATACAAAATTACAATATACGAAATCTCATTTATGTACTTCGACTAAAGAGTTAGCTTCTATGAACATCGACATAGATAAAAAATTGCTGCTTTCAAAATTAATTTTAAACCTTTTCCATGCAAAAGTAAACAGTGCACTTGGTAGAACAAACTTCACTGTACATAACTGACAGGAGAATCTCGTCAGATTTGCTCTTCTGATTTCCATGATTACACTACATAATATTGTAATACAAAATTTAAAAGGATATGAGTTTTCATTGATATTTGATTAAGCTATTGAATTTTATTCTCGAGGCCTAAGTTTTCGGAGAACTGATGTTTTCGAATTTTCATCTGAAACTTTACTTAAATAAAAAAACTCAACTAGACAAGCATTTATAAAAAAAATTCAGAAGTTTTAAACAAAGTCTCTTTGAGATATGAAGCTTTGAAAGAATACATTTTGTATACGGTGTCCATGAAAAAGAATCTACGTCTCTTAAGTCTCATATCTTGAAAACACTTTATTTAAAACTTCTGAAGTTTTTGTTTTAGAAACTAGTGTAGTTGAGTTCTTTATATGTACAAAGTTTTAAATCAAGATTCGAAAATATCGTGTTTCCGACAACTTATGGCCTCTAGAAAAAAAAACTCAATAGATTAGTCAAATCTCAATAGAAATCCAAACCATTTTAGAGTTTCTATATGGACATTATGTAATATAATCATTGAAGTCAAAAGAAGACGTATGAGAAGATTTTGTTGGAAGTCGTGACGAACTGTTGTGTTTTATTTTTCGATTTTGATCGATTTGAATCGAAATACAAAATTTATCAAAATAGTATTTTGTACAAGCGTTTATTTTTTACCTTTTGAAACAATATTTCCCGTAGAAGGAAAACCTGAAAACATATTCGGAACGAATTTGATTCTTAATAACTCTAAATTTGATTTCATAGATTATCAACTTCTTTTCTTACCTGAATTTGAACCAACAACTGGTTCAGATGGTTTATTAAAGTTTAAGTAAAGAAAATATAATATGGTTTTCTTTTTTGGCTTAATTGTACGTTTTTTTTTCTTTAGCCTTTTGCCATTTACTCTTGCTAAAAAGCTTCAATTATCTATTCTACCAGTCTGTCTTCGTACTTCTCGTGCATTTAAAATTCGAACTGTAAAAATCATTTTTTAATTCTATTCTATATCATTTTTATTTCTTGTTGTAATTTTAGAGTATTTTCAATAGTCATCCATTTACTGATCTTTTCTGGTTTTTATTCAGTCCTTATACACGATTTTATATAAAGTAAATGGATATATATATTCCTTATAAGACTATATTATTGTTTTGTTTTGTAGTTGTTTACCAATCGTTTCTCCAACAGATCTATCTTCCGATGAAATTTTCTGTGAACAAATCCGTGAAAATATGTGTCGAAAGATGGGTATAGAATTGACTCAATTCGATGAACAACAAGTGTCTGAACTTAAAAAAAGACCTGATCTTGTTCAACGTCGACATGGTAAATGATTACTATGAATATATTTTTGTTTCAAATTTTTTAAAAATTTCTAGAACAGCGTCGAGCTGAATTTCAACAAATGATTAATCTTGTTCATCAGCAAGTACCTCTGGCATCATTGGAAACCATTCGATATGAACTTGGTTTGTAAATTTTTTCTTTTTTGTTTAATTTTTATTTGTCTTATTATTCGAATTATAGAAACAACAAAAAATGTTCAAAGAACAATTGCAAGTTTAAATGAACGTGTTACTGCAGCAACTCGAGCAGCAAATAAATCAACATCATCAACTACATCTTCACATGCAATAACAAAATCTTCCGGTGGCAGTAATCATCGTCAAACATATGAAAGACTAAAACAAGAATTAATCGAAAAAAACCGACAATTATTTTTAAAAAAAACTGTAACTAAAATATAAATGATAAAGATTCTTTTGGTTTTCCGAAAAATCTAGTTTGTTTTCTTTTATAAAAGGCACTATAGAAATAAATAAAAAAACAACCATCATTGTTTACCTCTGTAAGGTTGTGCTTACCTCATGATGGTGAAATTACTTTTTATCTTCTTGTAATTGTGCAAGTTATATATTTCTATCCTGTTTTTCTTTTCATTGATCCTTCTTCAAAGCAACATAGTATGTCGTGTTTAGTTCATGATAAACGATTTCGTTCTTCATTTCACAGTGTTATTAATGAGCTTCGAAATGAAAAACGTATGCCAATACCAATCTTACGTACTCTGCCACGTCAATGTTGTACATGTCATGATGAGAATAGCGAAACCATGGAACAGATAATGGTTGCACAAGAAGAAAACGAACTAATAAAATTGAAAAATCTTATTGAACGAGTGAATCAAGAAAAACAAATGAATCCAAAATTAATTTTATCGTTAAATATATTGAAAAATCTTATTGAAAAAAATCGAAGTTCTACCTCATTGTTGTCAGAATCATCCTCAGTTGAAAAACAAAAACGACGTAAACCAACATTTAATCACAGTAGTAGCAGTTCTTCGTCAAGTTCTAAAGATAGCAGTTCTTCATCGAGCTCCACAGAAAGTAGTTCTTCATCGAGTTCAACAAGCAGCAGTTCTTCATCAGATGCTGATCATAAAACGACAAGAAAAACAATTAAAAATGGAACATTTCTATTTTTACCATATACTTTCGATCATAAAACTAAAAATAGAAATTCCGATCATTTATTAGAAGTAGCCAAAGAATTGCAGCGTAAACGATTTATTGGTCCAAATGGCCATTTTTCTATATTAGAAAAACAATATGGTGTTCGTATCAATATGATTACATCGAAAACAAGTAAACAAGTTACTAATGCACTTGAAAATGCTAAAAAAGGTTTCGAGAATCTTAAAATTCACAATCAAGAAGAAGCTGTGAAAAAATCAAACAAATTAGAAGGCGAATGGATTCTTCTTCGATCGAAGAAATCACTAAAACAAATAAAACCAGCTGATATGGAACAAGCATTAGATGATTTAATAAATCGATGGGAAAATTGTTTAAAAGTCAAAAAACGTACAAATGATTTCGAAGATGATTCGGACAATCCAATTCAGAAAAAGAAATAATTTTTAAATTGATTCTTTTCTTCTTTGTGTTATATGAAATTAAGAAATCAATATTGCATTATGTTTATTAAACGATATTTTTAACTTTATTATCACATTTGCATTGTTGTTCAAATATTTACAACAGAAATAGCGAGGCAGAGATAGACAAAAAAAGTACCTATAAAAATAGAGAGAAATCAAACAAGTTTATGGCTAATAGTTCATACTATATCAGAAGATAAATATTAATCTCTAGAAATGTTCCTGTATGATAATCTTCATCCCTCTTCAGATGCAGTCATAAGGATTTTTTTCTTCTTTATCTATAGGACTATACATAAGCACTCATGTTCGTCTTCTTTTCTTCTATTGTCTAGTCATGAGCTATGGATTTTTACTTTCCTGTCATATATATGCTATGAACTTTTCCTTTCCTTCGGTCCTTCTTTGTTTCATGTCATACTATGGATTTTTCTTTCGTTGTTTATCATCTAGGGAATTCTCCGTAAAAGATTTTCCCATGTTGTCATCCTATATATATATTCGTTAGATTATTGAAAAGTTGGAAGAGAGATAGAGCTGTAGAAATAATGTACAAGTGAGATTAAGATCTCAAATCCGACTTGTGACATATGAAGCAGGTCACTCTAAAATCGACCTGTTCGAGATTTCGACCACTTATTCTCAACAATCTGAATACTTTGAATATGCAGTTTTTCCAACATAGACCAAGAAAGACAGCTATGGATTCGTGTTTTTTTGAAAAAAACATTACCTAATACACTCGTACCAAAAAAATATTAGTTGTGCCGGACGGTGAACCGAGTATACCCTCAGATGCCCACTATTCAAAAAACTTCTATTGCGAAAGAGACCCGTAAAAACTCAAAACATCGTCTTTTGAACCTTGTTTTTAGTAGAAAAAAAAACGAAGAATTTCTGCCATATATTTGTTCTAACAGCTGAACCAATTGAGAAGCCATGTGTATCACATGGAATTCACCGAAATCTCTCGATTGGTATTAAACTCGAGCTTGTTTACTGGCAGGCTGGAAGTCTAGGTAGCTGAAAACTGGTAGTACCAAGGTTTTTAACTCATGTCATACGCCCACATTTACCCAGACACTTATCCTTTGAAACAATCTGTTTTTTTTTCACATGATTTCTATTCGAAAGGGGCAAATATTGGTGACGGATTTTTGACATTCATTCATGAAAGTCTCAGAACACCGACTCACCTAGCATATGTGAAATGTTCTTGTCAAATGACCTTCTCATGCAAAATAGTATCTAGTGTCGACAACATGTGACTCGTGCAAAAGCTCAATAGTAACTTGTTTTGTGCATTGAAGTCACAGTATATATAACTGTTTGAAGTGCATTTTTTTCTAGAATAATTTCCAATGCTTTAAAGCCTTCAATAATATATGAAGGTTTTCTAGGGAGAAAAGCGAACATCTTTCATTCAAGAACAAATATTTGTGGCAGCTGCACATATGTTCATAGAGGACGTTCTACCTATATCTAATGAGTATTTCTTACATCGATGCTTCCTAGAAACTCTTATGCTTGACTTGAATAAAAACTTCCGTTGATGATACCATGTTGGTAACTTAAATAGTCGTTAACTACTTTTTGAATTCATCTTAACCAATTACTTGACACTAATCCCCTATAGACTTCGCTTGAGGTGCATCTCTACACATGTTTCCGAGTAGCAACAGGGCTCAGTTGGAATATGAAGCCTATGGATCATGTTTATCTAGAGATATAAGCAGATTAGCTGCATCATCGTCAATCTATTCATTTATTAAAAGGGCAAATATTAGAGTTTTGAAAGTTCGCTATCTCAAGTTTGAGATTTGGGGAACATTTTCCCCTCCTTTCTAAGAAATTTCACTTTTCTGCAGATCATGAGAAATTTGAAATTGCTCTTATCAGATAAAATAAAATGGAAGTCCTCAAGAATTGAGTCTTGAAGTGTGGAAAGAAAATGTTCCTAAAGTTCTATGGACAGTATTAAATACATTTTGACATAGTCTTGTTCATTTGAATTTATCAATTAGTTACAAAATAGAGAGACAGAGAGCGAAAAAATGCTCCTGATGCGATGTAATTCAGGCGAGAGAAAGAAGGTAGGAAAATATAACCTTGCGTTGTTTAGTGTCTATTTATTTACACATTTTATCTTCATATTGATTCACTTACTGTATATATGTATATGAACAAAAAAATGGCAACATTAATACAAGTGTAATCAAAAAACGTCTTTTTCCTCGTTGTCAGTGTACTTTCTTGTTAATCTTTCTTGCTCTTGATATTTGGACTTTCAGGAAAAAATATATTATAATCGTGCATCCATCAATCAATGCCGACATCGTCGACAACTGTTTTTTTTCGCACAATAAACGCTTGGATTTGCAAAGACACGCAACGTATTCTTGAATGACGGTGCCATGTTTTTTCTTACTATTGAAAAACAATGGATTTCGTTGTCTGTATATTGATGGAGATATGTCAAACTGCAGTGTCCTTCGATCAGAAAAAGAACAAATATAAGACAGAATAACTTTAATTTGGGCGAAAGTAATACTATACTCACAATGTCTACCTCATTCATTCTCTTTTAACGTAAGAAAAATTTATGTCATATGAAAGTGAGATTTAATATATTAAATCTAGATGTCAGATGTTGGATACTTAGCACAATACTTGGTACTTTTCGTACAAAGTAAATAAAATTCTTAGATACGAGTACATCTTTTGCAGTAAAAGGTCAAATACTTTTTACTTAAAAATGTACTCAGTACAATATACCTAAGTACAACGGACTTAAGCACAATATACTTCAGTAAAGTACATAATCTGTTTTGATTCGTATTTTTTTATCAACATCAATCATTTTCGAAGTCTAACGACATATGTAGTAGCAAAGAATGATGCGCTTTTATTCCCTCTACAATATTTTGATATGTATTGATATGAAAATTGAGATAATTTGTAAGTTTAAAACTTTAGATCACGGAGTGGAGTGGATCGAAGATATCCGTGTGTGTGTGTGATAGTGATTCAACAGAAAGCTAACACCAGCATATACGTCTTGACGTTTTGAAGTAATAAATTATCTCGATTTTTATGTCAATTCTTCAAGAGTAGATAAAAGCTTGTCATTTTTTTGCTAAATATATCGTTAGACTCCCGAAAATGATTGACGAGGTATGGGTAGATACCACTGTTAGAATTCTGTTAACTAACAACCATGCCCACACCCACACCCTCAAGACTAATTAATTAGTGACAACACGTTTTTTAAAGACAGTGCCATGAAGAGTTTGAAGCAAAAACTGGAAATTACTCAGGGAGGTGCACACGGTGTGATTAACTTGATCAACACCTGATGTTGCTTCTTTATTAAGTTAAGAATGTAATCAATGATTAGGAGAAAATTACACTTGAAATTTGGCAACAGGGTAAAATATTGAAGGAACAAAAATGAGGAGCAATGTTATTCTTTGATGTATTTAGCAAAGTCACTAGCAGTTTCCTCTCGCCATCGAGACAGTGCTGGACGCCCTTCAATAATATCACGCAGGTTCCAGGCCATGCGTTTATAATCAATTTCATTTGTCACAGCATTATCGGGACAGAGAATGTAAAATTGTTTCTGCTTGATTTTTTCGAACATGTACGAAGCAACTTGATCTGGAGTCCATGCTGAATCTGGTTTGCTTGTTAAGGTGCCACGAGTCATTCCCGTGTAAGTGTATCCCGGAATTAGAAGATGCACGTCAACATTTGTTTTACGGAGATCATAAGAGAGACTTTCTGCCAGCGTCTTGACAGCAGCTTTTGAAGCATTGTATGCTGGATTTCCAGGTGGATTGGTAATTCCTTGTTTGGATCCAGTAATGACAATGGTTGCTTTTGTATTTTCAATGAGCGGTAGCAGCGTCGCAATCCCATTGACTATGCCAAATAGATTGGTATCCATCAACCTACGCCATCCATCCAAATCGGTCCATGAAGGATTCGTTCCGACTCCTGCATTGAGCATGACAAAGTCAATTGGTCGCTCTTTGATTGCCTCTGTCACTTTTCCCCATTCAGCTCCCTGTCCCACATCGAAATTCAGTATTTCCGCCTGGATATTTTCTTCAAATTCTGCTCGATCAATCAGTAGAAGAGTGTGTGTTTTTGCTAATTGCTGAGCTACTGCTCGACCAATGCCGGATGCTGCACCCGTGATAATAGCTAGAGGTTTTGTCGCCATCTTATACTCAGTTTTATAAAGTGCACATACTGAATAGTAAAGCCAAGAATAGATCTTTTTGTCGTTTCGTTATCTAAAAGATAATATAACAAAATAGAAGAGTCAAACGAACACCTGGAGTAGGTAAAAAAGAAAGGCAAATGTTTCTAATGATACCATACATCGAGGATGGAGAAAGTATAGCATTCGATCAAGCAGACTTGAAAAATAATGTACATTAGTATGTATCATTTTCAACCACTTTGATGTTTAGCAATGCACTACTAATGCAATATACTAGACAATCATGTTTGTTGTATTAGTTTCGATTGAATGACAAAGAAATACGGAAGCAGTACATTATCGTGATCGATTCAGCATGATTCAATCGTGTTTTTGTTTTTTTAAGCTCATTTCAACCAAAAAACTCCAAAAATGCCGACAGTTTCAGAGGAAAGAGGAGAAAAAAATTGACATGACTCAGAGCAACCGCTATAAAACCGAAATCATGCGTCTGAAATATGATATGTTTATGACGATACTCACTCTGACTTGGTAGATTACGGGAGAAAACGAGAGATAAGTAAGTGATGAGGACAGAGAAGAAAAAGATACCAAGAGAACAGAAAAAATCGAAGGCTGTTCATTTTTTCATTTTCGCTCTTCCTCTTCTTCACATCTTGCACGAACGAGAAAATTAACCTACATAATCTTTTTTTTTCTGTCGACTTGGTACCAGAAGAAGACATCATTGTGGACTAGTCAAGTACTAAGAGCTGTTTAACGCTCAGATTTCAATTTCCTATGAATACGGTATTTGATATCTATATTCAATAGAAGCTTATAGATAATATTGTAGATACTAGCGAGAACCCGTGCATACTGCACGGCAGCTTGCTTTCCTTTAACGTATGACCTGAAACCTTTAACATTTCACTCGGTAACAGAAACACCCACCCTCAATATTATGTATATAGGAGCCCTACGAAGTGATATCCTTTTATCGCTAATTGCTCATGTAGCTCTTGTGGCCTAACCACCAACAGTCTTAGCTCTGTAGTCTGAACCCGTTATTGCCTTACTCTTATATAGACTTACACCTTTATAGCTTTATCCCTCTATACCATTCCACTCTTATAGAGTTCCCCTTTATAGCCATACTCCATTATAGCCTTATTCCCTTACCCCTTTATAGTGTTACGCCATATCTTCTGATTCACTTATGGTCCTTCCCACTTATAGGCTTACCGTCTTATAGCCTCATCATCTTACAGCCTCATTCTCTTATAGCCTTACGCCCTTATTGCCTTATCCCGTATAGCCTTACTCCTCTCTAGCCTATTGTTTTTATAGGGGTACCCTTTTCTAGCTTATTGCTTTTATATGGGTACCCCTTCATAGCGCTTCATTTTTATCGTTTTCCCACGTCTTAGCCTTTCTGCCTGCTGACCTTACCCCTTATAGCCCCACACTCTTATAGTCTCATCGTCTTATAGCCTTACTTCCCTATTGCCTTACTTGTTTATAGCCTTTTTTCCTTATAGGGTTACCCCCTTATAGCGATCCAGCCTAATGGCCCTATCCTCTATAGTCATCTTCTCGTATAGTCTTGCCCGTTATAATCTTGTTTGAGCTTTAACCTTTGATCCGGCGCAGAGAGACGCACGCTGAACATCATATATACAGATTCAAGTGAGATCCCGTGTATACTGCACGGCTCTCCTTTTCCTCTAACGTATGACGTCGGATGTTCAATTTTTCATCTGCTAAAGGACGAATAGACACTCGATATTATATATACGGATAGGTAGCCCCACGGTTTCATACTCCTACAGTGCACATATTTTTATAGTCCATTAGTCTTCGGCCTTATACCCCTCGTAGCTCTTGTAGCATTATCCCCTTTTTGCCTTACCCTCTTCTTGCCATACACCCTTGAGCACCTATGGCTACCCACATATTATAGCTCTTGAGGATCTATGGGTACCTCAATAGGATAGCCCTTGAGAGTCTCGCGGTACTCTAATTCTATAGCCGTTGAGAGCCTATGGGTATCCCCATATAATAGCTCTTGAGGATCTATCGGTACCTCCATAGGATAGCTCTTGAGGACCTATGGATACCTCTGTAGGATAGCCCTTGAGAACCTATGGGTACCTCCACAGGATAGCCCTTGAAGATCTATGGGTGCCTCCATAGAATAGCCCTTGAGGATCTATGGGTATCCCCATACAATAGGCACTGAGTCTTCTCCTTAAAGCCTCATTTGACCTTTAACCTTTGTCCTTTGACCTGGCACAGACATACACGCACTGAGCATTATATATATAGATTGTGAACTAGGAGGTACGTGTGTGGGTGTGAGTGTGGGTATGAGTATGAGGGTGGAGATGTGGAAGAACAGAAAGCCTAAAACCCACATATATCCACACCCACATCGACACGCACACTCACACTTACACCCTCACTGGATACAATTGACAGTCAACACATGAATTTGAAATTTGGCTTCAGAGGTTTCCTCGTACCGATCACAATGTCCTAAACAAAAGTCTGAAGCACCGCTTTAACCCTTTGAGTCCCGGCGGTACATATATGTACCAACTAGCGAAAATTTCTAATTTTCAAAAATTTTCAAATATGTTTGTGGTTTTTAAGATCTAGAAGGAATATTTTTAACAAATGTTTGTAGTTAAGACATATTTGTGCGAGATTGTACAGATCTCCGTATGAATAGACAATGTCGAAAAGTGTACTGCGGTATGTCTATTTGATTTCAGAAAGTTTTCTTCAAAAATCTAAATTTTGAAAAATTCGTGTTTTGATTCATTGTGTCGTATTGAAAACCTAACTGTTTTATAAAATATAATGGATTCAGATTCTGACGAAACCTATTCCGATGAAAATGAAAGTTCAATTAGTTCTGATGAACTTGAAAGTAGTGATTCCGAAGATAATGATTCATTAATCGAAGAACTCAACCAAAGTTCAATGGATGATTGGGAATGGAAAGTTGACAACTCAAGTTTTTCTACTTCTTTCAATTATTTTGATGGACATGCATTAGGAAACAATATAATTCGACCAATAGATTCATTTTTCAAGTTTATATCCCAAGATTTGATCAAATTAATTACTGATCAAACCAACATTTACGGCAAACAACGTTGTGTTCAAAAAGGTGAAGATGCAACAAGTTGGAAAAAAATTGATGAAAATCTAATACATGCATTTCTCGGTATTTTATGTATCATGGGATTTCACAAGCTGCCAAGAATTCGAGATTATTGGAGTCAAGACAGAAATCTTTATACACCAGCTGTTGTCAACACAATGACAAGAAACGACTTCCAACGACTCTTTTCGAACATTCATCTTGCTGATAATTCAAAAATGCCCTCGAAAAACTCTTCTAATTATAATAAATTCTATAAAATAAATGATTTTCTCAATATTTTGAAAAGAAATCTTCAGAAAAACTACTCACTTGGATCATGCATTTCCATAGATGAGGCGATGATAAAGTTCAAGGGTAGATCGTCCATAAAACAGTATCAACCATTGAAACCAACTAAGAGGGGATATAAGGTATGGGTCTTGGCCGAATCGAGTACAGGATATGTGTATAACTTTGAGATTTATACCGGAAAAAATACAGAACGATGTTTGTCTTTAGAAGAGGATGTAGCCATGTCATTAGTAAATGGGATAGGAATGAAGAATCGTCAATTATTTTTTAATAGTTATTTTACTTCCTTACAATTACTTTACAAGCTGAGGAGAAATAAAATTTCAGATACCGGTACAATTCGTTCCGATAGAAAATATTTTCCAACTGAATTGAAGAAAGGAGAAAAACTTGAGAGAGGCGATCATCGATATCTAACATCTAATGGGGTTTCTGTAATAGAATGGATGGACAAGAAAGAAGTTCTTATTGCATCAAACTACTTTGATCCTGCAGTTGAGGGTGAAGTTAGTCGACGAGATAAAGATGGAAGTAGAAAGCAAATTTCTTGTCCATTAGCAATTGTTCAGTATAATAAATACATGGGAGGCGTGGATTTATCTGATCAAAAAATAAAGTATTATACAATTGATCGAAAGTCAAAGAGAAACTGGATAAGAATATTTTTTCATTTCCTTGGTATGTCATT